GCAGCATTTTGAAGGATCATAGCAACATAGAGTTACTAAACAGAATGCTCTGTTGCTCAGGTTTTAGTATAGCTGGTAAAGAATACAGCTGAATTGTGAACTTCAGAAGAGAATCTAATGATCAGAGCTTCGTTCTTGTAAATCAGCCGCTTGTGAAACTCAATGAATTCTGGGAAATCATTTGATTAACCTGATGATACATGTCCGATTGGTGAGAAATCGGGCAAGTTTGACATGCTATACCATCCTACTAGAGTATGCTTTCTCCACATAGTGGCACAAACAAGGTATTGCGACACAAGGCGAAGTCCAAAAATGAGGCAGATAATCATGTAAAGCAATGCTTCAAGTGGGAAACAAGGGAGGAAGCAGTGACTAGCTGTTATGGCACTGCAAAATAACTAATGAACAGCGGAAACATTCCTATCTTTACTGGGAATGGAGTGGATAATGCCTCGAACGACAGCTGAGTTGCTGACATTGGAGGGATGCCTAGAGGAAGAACTACTAATATTGATCTGGAAGACACTCACCAGTCTGAAAGTGAAGATTTTGGGAAGAATTCGAGGGGTTGGCTCTGATTAGACAGAATAAAAGGTAGAGCTTATAAGCCTCATACTTTTGGTTTAAACTAGAAAAGGTAGATGGCCAAGAGGATTTCACAGCCTTTTGATCTCACTAGACATACAGCTTTTGTAAAGACATTGTAGCACTCTCTTGGTGCACATTTCTCTCGTTGATAAAATATTTACTTATATTCTTAACAAATAGTCGGTTTGTCTCTCAAAGGATGTTCAAAAGTGCTTTTTTGGCTGTCTACTCTGTACATGTGAAATTTGTCTCAAGATACAATGCCTTTTACATGATCCTAAAACACGTAAGTATCATGTTGCACTGCTTCAATGTTTTAGCATAAATTTCATTAAAATTTTTTGTCCTAAACTTTCTAAGATTCCATAAACATGTAAGCCGGTATTATAGGTGATGTTTTGGATTCTAGAAAGGTGTGAATGGTTTTGTCCCATACTGATGAGTTATCGGAGCACACAAAATGCTCCTTATCAGATCAGCTCTATTTTCCTTCCCCGTTTTTTTCCTTCAGAAAGTGGAAACAGAAGGGAAGGCAAGGAATGAGATATGACTGAAGCATTGTTAAGTAATCAGGCAATTAAAAGAATGAAAGACCAACCAGATCAACATTAGGTACATCAAGTCCTCGAGCAGCAACATCAGTGGCCACTAATACATTGAATTGACCTTGTCGGAAACCGGACAGAGTTCTCTCCCTCTGGCTTTGCGTGATATCCCCATGCAAAGCTTCACATCTCAAAGTTTTTTGCATTGCACTCGCCAATCTATCAGCATCACGCTTTGTTTGGGTAAACACAATACACTTGCCTCCTTTTGCATGCTCCTGAAGAACAAATAGATGCTCAGTCTTGAAAATTTAGACAAAAAAAGAAATCATTTTACTCATTAGGTGGATAGCAACAACATGCAATGACACTAGATCAATAGGTTAGATATGAAGTAGAACTGAAAAGAGACTTAGGTTATAGATTCATACTGATATTAAGGGTCCAAGAACTGCTGGTTTCTGACGCATCTCACAAGCAATTGAATACAAGGAAATGCCATCGGCTAATTTCTTGTCAGAATCCCCTACCTGCACACACATTTACACATAATTATTTAGCATAAAAACCTCTAGGGTACTCAGTAAAAATAAGACAGATGGCCTGTCCACATGGTGAGAATAGCGGCCTCACAAGATCAATGTGAATTGGCTTCTTCAAGAACTTGTTGGTAATTTTCATTATCCAACTTGGCATTGTGGCTGAAAACATCATCGTCTGATGTTTCTGCCGAACATTTTCAAGAATGGTTTCAACATCCTCCGCGAAGCCCACATTAAGCATCTGATCAGCTTCATCTAGAACAACGAACTGGATTTCTGATAAATTTAAGGACCTCCTCTTCAGCAGATCAATGACTCGACCAGGTGTTCCAACAACAATGTCTGCACCCCTTTGAAGAGTACTCATTTGGCGTTGAATGGGGACACCACCATAAACACACAGTGTATCCAAACCGGGAGCAGATTCATAAAATTCTTTCTCCACCTGGCGTGCAAGTTCTCTAGTGGGAGCCAAGAGCAATGCTAAAGGGTTTCTTCCCCGTCTGTATAGTTTAGAATAACCAAAAAGAATTTCAATTTTAACGAATTTCTTATTCTCAACAAATAAGCAGAATCAAATAAAGAATCATCAATATTTTTATGGCGCATTAAAAATATTAGGTAGGCACTATTTGCACTAGGAATGGGATTTGGGAATGTTTTTGGAAGTCTAATTGTTGAACCAGCACAAGGTTGAAGCTTTACACAAATTAAACACCAAAAGTTAAAATCCAAAAAAACACAGACAAATAATTAACTCAAAAAAATTGCTTAAATGGTAAAAAAGGGTATAAACAGTGTAAAAAGACGAAGTTACCTCAAGGCCAAGGCCTTTCTTTAATGTGAGTATGAGTGGCGATTCTCTGCTTCTTAGTGGTCGATTGAACCTCTTCTATCTTCATATTTTTCTTCTTCTTTGTTTGGAGTTTAAGAGTAGCTTCTCTAATTTTTGAAGGGGTAAAATTTTTAATGCGCCATAAACCCCACCATGTTCATATTATTTGAAATAAACTCTCCAAATGTGCCACTTTTGGCGTATTGTTTTTCTTTCTTACTTACTTTTTTCCTTTTTTTACCTTAAGGCCAATTCTACTTTCTCAATAATATAAAGTATGAGGATCAAAACATCTAATTTACATTCTGAAATTGAATGTCTAGCCTTTTCTTTGGATTAAAATTTACCTATTCAAAAACTACAAGAAGAGTTAGTAACATATTTTTTTTATAATTAAAGATATGGAAAATGTTTGAAAAAAGTCCTAGCTAGAGAAAGAATTTGATAATGATATTACATAAAATGAGATGAAAAAAGTACCTAGTATTTTGTCTAATATGACCTTCTTCAATTGACAAAGTCGTACACAGTTTTCCACAATTTTTTTTCAAAACCCGCATTGGAGCCCGACTATATCCGGATTCACGCCGCGTAAGGCCCCATTCCTACTAAGTATTTTTCCATACCCAGGGCTCGAACCCGAGACCTCTGGTTAAGGGAAGAGCAGTCCCGTCCACTGCACCACATCCTTTGGTGGTTCCACAATTTTTTCTGATTTGTGTCTATCTTTTCTTTCTTTTTATTCTTTCTCCCCATTACACCAAATTCTGTAAGTAAAAGCAACTCATACTGCGGGATGTGACACTATACCTGTTGATAAATGAAAAGGAAAGATAATATACATTGAGGTGCATCTAAAACGTTTGCCATCATTAGTCAGACACAAGACACTATGAATCTCAAAAGTCAACAAGTTCCAAATATGATGTTTTCGTGGATTAGATGATTCATTACATTAAGCTACCAAATAGAAAACAATACACACTTTAGATCCTACAACTTCCATAACAAAGATAAAATCAAATAAATATACACGCGAACAAATGCGTGCTTCTCAGTGTTTCTCAAGTGATTTGACAGCAACGGGAGCACAATCGCGTCATGTTTTTAGGAGGCATGCTTAAAACTCAGGCACAAGTCCTATTCTAGTTAACAGCTTCAACTTGACAATAGCTTCCTAACCTCCAGTTCCATCTTCCAGTAAGGAATGTCTTTCAAGGATAGCAACAGTCTCTTCCTCGGCACTGTCATAAGATTAGTAATTCATCAAATTACGCACAACAGTCTTATGACTTTCTCGTCCCAATGCTCAAACACCAAGAAAAGTTTCGACAATACAGTCGTAGTTGTACACAACAACAACAACAACAACCCAATGTAATCCCACAAGTGGGGTCTGGGGAGGATAGGATGTACGCTGCCTTACCCCTACCCTGAAAGGGCAGAGAGACCAGTCGTAGTTGTACACACAGAATATATACATGATCAAGTCATGGACATTATTTAGACCATTACCCCAGATAGAAATCTAGAAGGCAAAAAAAAAATCCAATAGCTAATATTCCATGTGAAGACTCTGTGCTAAAAAAGGATAAAATATTATTTTGTCCCTCAAACAAGAAATGATTTGCAAATAGAATAAAAAGGAGCGAAGTCATAGCTACAATCAACAAAACAAGAACTAGAAAGCATTAAAAAAAGGAGGCATGAGAAATATTGTATTTCTTAATCTTATTGTATTTATTGGGGAAAGGGAATTGACTGACTAATTTAGCAAACAATATGAAAATTATCATGCACCTTCTTACTCATCAAGTATTTTCTGGTAAATTTCATTAATTTAAAAGTCAACTCCTTTGAAGCCTTCTCAGAAGGTTATGATCAGTTCAACTCGACAATATTTCCCATCCTAGATAATGGAAGCTTACCTCCCAGGTCTTAGAATCTTGTACTTTCCCAACTTGGTAAGATCCACCACTGTTGATCCTGCTCGCCCAGCCGGAAGAATTCCGCCATCATAGACATATGCACAATGCTCCCAAAGGTTCTCAAAATCTTTGATGTTTATGCTACTGGGCTGTCCACTGAGGTTAGCGCTAGTAAGTGCAAGGGCACTTCTAGAACCACGGGCGATTACCCTGATGAAGTTATAGTCAGGCACTCGGACACCTATGCTCTCTAATCCAGGGTTTAATGACTTCTCAAGGATACTTGACTCACCTGCAAAATATCTGAATTCAGCCTCTAGTACCGAAGATTTATAAGAGAAAGATAAAAGCTTCTAAAACTACTGAACACGGGCCAGTATTTGCCCAGGTGAGTGACTCTTCTTGGTCCTTCTTCAAGTGTCTTACTTGAGTAGTTACATACATTTACTATGTAACAATTAAGTCCTAACTTGAGATATTTAACCTTAAGTCCTAAACAGAGCTTGAATAAGGATACCCATCCCTGCCACATTTGTTGGACATAACATACAATAAGCTACTAACCTCGCCTTAAGACCACAGTTACAGGTCCTGGAAGCAGGCAGTCAAGCAAGCCATGAGGCAGATGATCTGTCACAGCGTAACATTGTATATCATGAACATCGCCAACACAAATCGCCAGAGGACTTGTATGCTTGCGTCCTTTGATCTCATAAATACGATTCACTGCCTCAGCAGAACTACATCAATGCACCATATAAAATTAAACCAGACTTCCCATAAATATGACTTAGAGAAATAAACAACAAATTAAATTGTCTCCTTGATTGCTAGATCAAATGAATAAACAGTGAACGACAAGAATGTTCCTTTTTTCTGAAAGTTAAATCAATCTGGAGCCCCAATAAATATTTCAATGAGAAGTATATTATCTTCCGTTTTCTAACAACCTAGGTTCAAAAGATTCCTTTCTAGTTCACAGAACTAATCAGCACTTGCAGGTTTTGAGCATATCAAGTTTTGGCAGTAATCTTAATTCAATTTCCGTACCAGTCTCTGCTGCTAGCTCATTCCAAGGCAACTTAGCGACACCCATTTGCTGGTCTTTCCCAATGTCATTATGAAGACCTCCAAGATGAGAGATTGGGTCTCTTTGTGTTCTGCAATTTAACTCAAACTTCTGATTCTAAACGGGATTTAGGTTCTTCTCAATGATTTTGCTTAACCTTGAAAAGTGGATGAATGTATACAACCACAAATAGATCAGATTTTCCTAACATTTCATGGTTCTTTAAGCCATTAGCCTTTACTACAGTTACTATGTGCTTCCCTGTGGCTTAAGCTCCAAATTGCTATTATCGATAGACATGCCGTCAATCGGAACAACAATTTTGGCGGGGCCATTCTAGCAATATCTATCACTAGTGTATTTACAGTGTCATCAATCATATCTGAAAGTCCAAAAAGAGCTCTTAAACTTCCACCAACAGCCCTCAAAATATTATCAATTCTATTGTTTGGCTTAGAAAATAAGCTATAGTAACAGCAGAGAAGCAAGGAATTTCCCAGCTAGTTGAAACATGACAACAAAATTAATGAAGTTGAAGACTTTAGAAAATGGGTACAGAAGCAACCATTGCAGCTTCAATACCTAAGACAATATTCAGATCACCACCCCATCAGAGGTCAATGTCCTTTTTTTGGGATAACAGGAGGTGTCCCAGCTTGGCGCACTTCGACTATCCGGCCGGATACCTATTACCTATCACTAGCGTAGATACCAGCAGAGGCGGATATGGGTTCAATCTCTAAGCTTTTTAGCATTGAACCCATTATATTTTTAAAGTTATGGGTTCATATCTACTTTTTGTTGCAATATTAATGAATATTTACACATAAATTATATTCCGCATCAAGAGTACTCAATTCAGATGAACCCGGTACCATAAGGCTAGATACACCCCTGGATACCAGGTAACTCTATCTACCAAGGCTTAGGCAGATAAAACACCTAGTTTTTGTTATCTCCGCTAAGATTTGAATGTTAGTCTCCAAGGTTTGCACCCACTTCATTGACCACTAGGCTGTGGGGTATCCTATCCGGGGTCAATATCCATAGTGCTTTGACCCTGTATAAGGCTGTGAACACGAATACTTTCTATTTAGGTGCCAAAGTTCCCAATGATAATTTGCTGAACTTCAATGAAGTAATTCCAGGAGGTCAATAAGTTTCTAAAAGAGGTTCAACAGATTCTCTTATAATAGCCTCTCCTGCTTCGGCAATAAATGGCCACAATTTGCTCGATTGTTTGTTCAACCCTTTGACCTGTTCATAAACTAGGAATAACATACATTCAAGAAAGTTACCGCCGCACATTTTCTTTAGATCGTCCCTGTTGAGGGAGCCCATTAGTTTTACATCAGCTGCCTTGCTGATTCGCTTGTTGCTCCTGTACCTCAAATGTCGTCAAGCTGTCATTAAACTGATTCCGAAGATTATCCCCATCAGAACTCAGAAATCAACCCCATTCTATTTCAACCCAATTCCCTCTTTATTCCCAAAATAATAACTGCGTATATGATAAATACTGAAACAACTTGCTTCTCAAACACAGAATTATTGCTGCTTCCTTTTCTTTACTCTTTACAGGAGCGGCCTCCACAAAGCTTTGAGGCTAAAGAAGAAAAGGTATCTTACTTATTTCATTGTACAATGAAATTAACGAGGGTTGGACGGTTAAGCATTACTAACTACCCCGCTCCTGAGAGTGGTCTTTCTGTTTGTTTCTTCCAACAAAAATGTTTGAAACTTCCTGTTCAGTCAATATGTTATTGCAATACTCTAGGAAGGCTGGGTTTCTTAAGGTCTAATCTATTAGGAGTACTTCTTTCTTTGAGTTAGATTGTATCATTTCCAGGGAGACGGGTGGGAAGGAGATACAGAATATGAGAAAGTAGCTTTCTTCACATGGTGTGGAACAGGGAATAAAAACCTTATAGCACAACTGCAGATCAATAACAATCAGCAGGAATGGAGAGTGACTACAGATATCATTCCTTTATCACTATCTAGTTCCCACTTCAAGCACACAGTGTCCTTTCACAAGCCAAATTCCCCAAGTACCTAAACAAAGGACAATGATTCCGGTCCAAAAAGAATAATTCCTCATTAAGTTGACATCCTATGCTCAATTAGCTTACCATGTGTTGTGACAGTTTAACTACCACTGTGAAGAAACCTCCAAAAGATTTTCCCTGAAGCTTCACCTCATTTTTGGGTAGTAATAAATATGTTAACCCAACAAAGCAACAACAACAACAACAACTACCCAGTAAAATCCCACAAAGTGGGGTCTGGGGAGGGTAATGTGTACGCAGACCTTACCCCTACCCCGATAGGGCAGAGAGGTTGTTTCCGATAGACCCTCGGCTTAACCCAACAAAGCCAAATCCCAAATAAGATAGTCTTCGCGTAACTGGTAAAGTTGCTGCCATGTGACTAGGAGGTCACGGGTTCGAGCCGTAGAAACAGCCTCTTGCAGAAATGCAGGGTAAGGCTGCGTATAATAGACCCTTGTGGTCCGGCCCTTCCGCGGACCCCGCGCATAGCGGAAGCTTAGTGCACCGGGCTGCCCTTTTTTTAGTATACCAAAACATCATGTTTGCCTATTTCAAAATCTTTCCTGTAAGCTTCTCAACTAATTTCTATTTGCTAGTGTCTAAAAAAGTCAAAGCTTTTACTCCTTTAAAATGTCAGAATATAGAACTACATTGAATCGAAAGGCAAAAATATCAACAAGAAAGTTTAGAATACTTTGCAACAGAATTTTGGTGTTTTACTGTCCAAGCCTAGTTATTAATTCAAGCCTACCCTTTCCTCTCCAATCTATTTCCTTTATCCAATACATAATAAACCAAAACCCAAGAGTACTAACAGTGTATTAGTACAAAGTATACTCAAAATATTACATAAGTATATATTTCTATAACAGTTCATTTTTCTAGTGTCTGTGTGTGTAACTTGTCATCAAAGAAGAAAGAGCAAATTAGAGGCATACCAAGCATCACAAGCAAAACCATATAATGTATCAGTGGGCACAGCTATAACTTTCCCAGCTTTGATAGCTTCAATTGCCTCTTCGGCATAATCTTCTGAAGCAGGACTCACAGAAACTACCTTAGTCTCCACATTGCCATCACTTTTCTCCAAACTCCAAGCCATTTTCTTCACATTAAAACCCCTCCTACTTCTTGTCCACAAGTTCAAAAATCCAATCTTTTCCACCCCTTCAGCTAAAAAAAAAAAAAGGTTTAATCTTTGTTATGTCTAAGCAAAACTGGAAACAGAATTTATAATTATAAGAAGAAAAGGGAAGAAGACTAACGATGAGTGTTAATATCAAAGAGCACCTCGAGAAGGGTGAAATAGAGAGGTGAAGTAAGGGAGAGTTTGGGCTATTTTTGTGGGTGTGGTGGCGTTCATCAGTCTTCTCTCCCCTGCAACTTTGTTTATCTCAAGAAAATATATGCCCGATTTGGTTGGAGGCCTATGGCCTCATTTGTTTGTTTTTTAAGATTAAGACGTCTTATATCAAGATGTGTATTAAGATTAAGATATATGAATCTCAATACAAATCTGAATATATTAAGATCTGAATAGAAATAATTAAGACTGTTTGATTTTTAACATCTGAATATATAAAATTTATCTTTATTTGAAAATTAATAAACATAAAATTCAAATGAAATACTAACTAATCTAATATTCTATCAATAAAATATATAGTTTTTTAAAATATGATAGTTGTTGATGGTGATGGCTAACACGTGAATGTCGACTAGAGACGGTGGTTGGTGATAGTTTTGGTTGATGATGGTGGTTCATGCTAGTAACTAGTAGTGATTGGTAGTGGAGGCGATTATGATTGAGGATGGCGGTGGTGGGTGGTGATAGTTAATAATGGCTGGTGGTGGTAGTAGTTGTGACTGAGGAAGATGGTGGATGGGTGGTGGTAGGTTATAAGATGGGCAATACCGATTGTGATTGTTGATGGTGATGGGGTGGTCAGTTGTGATAGTTGAGGTGGATGAGTGTTAATTGTGGGTGAGAATGATGGTGGTCGGAGTGGTGGGGATAGTGGATGGTGATGGTTGATAATGGTGGCGGCTATGATTGAGGATGATGGTGGCGTGGGGGTGGTGGTGGGGGTAGTGGTGGTGGTGGTAGTGGTAGTGGCATGGTGGTAGTTGATAATGGTAGGCGGTGGCGGCAGTTAATAATAAATATGTGATAGCATCTTAATGAAATTAAGTCTCTGTCATAGATCTTAATCATACAGACCTGTTCAGACTCATTAAGTGGTTGCGAAGTAAAAAAACAAACATACTTAGTGATTAAGATCTAAATAATTAAGATTTAGACTTTAAAAACAACGCACTTAACGTCTAAGATCTGAATGATTAAGATTGCCAAGTCTGAAATTCAGCCGCCAATTGACTTTAAGGCTACCGTGCACTCTTTTTTTGTTTTTGTTTTTGTTTTTGTGAGTACTCTATTTATTTCCTTTTTATACCTTTCACTGTTGTAATAAAACTCAAGCAATTAAACTCTTTAACCAAAACTCCAAAACACTATCTACATAAAACTGTAGTAGAAAAAAAAACAAGATTTGAATTGCCCAATTCAAACAAACTCAGCTGAATACAAACTAAAAACACTAATTAGGAATATGGCCACCTAATTAATCTACAAAAAGTTGAAACTTTTCAAGAATTTCCACCAAAAAATCAGTTTAACAGAAGAAGAGCTGGAGTTAAAGGATAATACTACTCACCAAGTCACAGTCAAAATCAAGACTAGATTAATATACCAAAAACAAAGGATCTTTTTCTATGCCCTTTTGACCCCAGTGAAAGATTGTTGTGATAAAACTGAATTAATTTAAACTATTTGACCAAATTTCAAAACACAATCAACAGAAAACTGTACTAGAAAAAGAAACAAACCAAGACATGAATTCCCCAATCCAAACAAACTCAGCTGAAAATACAAACTACAAACACTTACTATGAATATAATCAGCTAACTAATTTACAAAAGATTGAATTTTTTTCAAGAATAGTAGTATTACAGATTACTTACCAAGTCAGAGTTAAAAAAACCAAGACTAGACTAAAATACCCAAAAAGAGTAGAAGAATCAAGAAGCCAAAGAATTGGTGGTAGGTGGAAATTGTGAAGGACTTGTAATGAAATGGGTTTCAGAAATTAGACGTTGTAGAACGTCAGTCTAATGTGAACCTATCAAAAGAATTTCAAAATATTGCTGAATTTGATCGCATGGTCTAATCATTTTATTTTTATTTATTTTCCCAGTAGGCACGACTAATAAAAGAAAGTTGTGGACGGAAATTTAATTGGTCAAAAGTACAAGGACTGAGATGCAAAATTAGAGGGAATCATTCCGCTATATTCCTTAGCTTAGCAAGAAATAACTAACTGTCGTTTCGACCTCTTAGACAAAAAGACCGCAGTGTGGAAAAAGTAAAAGGACACAGGACCATCGCCACGTGTTGTCTTCTTATTGGGTAAATTGTTCGACACGTGAAACAATACGAACACCTTTTAGACGTGAAAGAAAGGGATAATTTCAGCCCTTGTCACTTGGCTTAACAGCCCAACCGAAAATGGCCCACGTTTGAAGTCCTTACCTAGTTTTAGCTCAGATTGTATATAATCTGAAATAACATTTTCAAACTTTAGCCACTATTACAAACACACTTTTAGGGTTTCTTTATTTTCATTTTTCCCCGGCACACTCTATACTCTCAGCCTCTCTTTGCTTTCTCCTTTCTTTCTCTTCTTTCACTCACTTAGATCTGAATATTTATAGAACTCAAATTTCTCTACTAAGTTGCTTAATCTTCATAAATTTTTATAGATCTCAAATATTTGAATCTCGATTTATGTGTGTCCAAATTTAAAATTGAAGTTTTGTTGCATCCAAATTCTAAACTCCATTGAAGGAGCTTGAAAAGCTAACTCTAAAGTGACGACATGTTCGTTCTGGTCAGGAAGTAAAGAGCAGTCCCTTAAGGCGTAGCTGATTCACCATGAGAGCTAAGTGGAAGAAGAAGCGTATGAGGAGGTTGAAGAGGAAGCGCCGGAAGATGAGGTAGAGATCTAAGTAAAAGCTTATTCCGCACGTCTCAGCATTCTTAGCTTTTGGTGTATCTTCTTTGCCTTAGGTTATTGCGTCTTTTTGTTCCCTTTTTCAGAACTTTGTAGTTAATATCTCTAGTGTTTTTGTGCTAATGGCACCTAATGTACTTATGCTTTTGAGGTATATTGAAACTCTGATATCCATTTTCGCTTTTCTTTAAAAAAAAAAAAACTCTAAATTATTGTAATGATAAGAATCTTGAGTGATGGGTTAACTGTGTCTGATTAACATTGGTTTTGAGAACCATACTAGTTGAAGAAGGAATGTCAAGATGAAATCCAGTTTTGTATACACCTTTCTACATCATTATACAATATTATACAATATTATACAAAATTATAATGAGGGTATAATGTTGTATAATATTGTATATTAGGTGTGAAAATATTTATACAACATTGATCTTTTTTTTGAAGTAAGTTTCTCTTTCATGATAGTAATTTTAGTTTTGTTGCATGTTTTCTATTTTTAGTTTTTCCACAGTTCCCTTTTGCTTTTGTTTTGGTTACTTTTTATTTAGATATTTCTTTTTGCTTTTACTTCGTATTCTCTATGTTTTCTATTAACACTGAGTTTGTTTTTTTTCCAGCGAAATAGTGGTATACATTATTCAACATTTCATATACAAGTTTATACAAACTTATACATCAATATACATTACTGTACAGATGAAGTTAAAACTGAAAAATAGAATTTTTATATTTTTCTCACTTTTATCTAACAATTTATATATAAAGTTAATTTTTTCGTTGATTTCTCTACTAAATTATGAATTTTCAAATTTTTCTTTTCTTGTTGAGTTTTTTGTCAAATCATAAACTTTGGAGCAAATTCATCTATATAGAACTTGGAAAATAAGAGATTTTAGGTCTGTTTGTTGTATGTTTATAGCTGGGATAGGAATGTATAAACTTGGATAAGAAATAGAACAAAAACCCATGAAAGATTTGCGTCAGAATAAAAAGGGCATAAAGGTTTTTTTCGGATGTGAGCCAAATAATATTGGGCTATATTTGTAAACTTAAATCTGGGTCATCCGGTTGCAAGGTTAACTTCTGGAGTGTATTATTACGTAATTTTATCTGAAAGAAAGTACAGTAATAAAAAATTTCTTCATATAACAGACTTTTTGTTAAACTAAGACTCATTTCAGCTCATCTAGTTTTACTAGCAAATGTATTATGAATACTTAGTTTGATTTCGTGCCCAAAGTCTATCGAAAAAATCTCTCTACCTTTATAACTTGTAAATTACAAGGTAAGAATAAAATTTACGTACACATTATGCTTCCCGAACCCTTCTTGTAGAAATATGCTGGATTTTCTGTTATTGTTCAATGTACTAAACCTGAATAATCTTAACATGATCTAATATTGTTCGTTTTATTTGCACTGATTTTTCCTAAAGACACGTAACCACTTGGCATTCCGATTACTTCATTCATAAACCTTTTTTTAAATTTCAAATAAAGGAGAAGCTTCCATTCTAGAAGCTACCGCTTCCCGCCTCCCTCGCGATGAGTTCAGTGGGCCGATGTTTGGCTGACCCTGTTCTTCTCATTCGTGTTGGGTTCATCCAGAAGTACAGTAAAGAGAAATAGAACCACTGGAGAGTCGTCTGCAGTTCACACATGGGCAAAGACGACTGACTTTGGAAGCGAAACACAAACCTATTTCCGCTATTTCGGGTTCTTATTGAACATAGCAAAATCAAGGTTGATGATAAAGTCGGCAAAGTTTCCATGGTGTTCTACCACCTCACACCATTTAAGAACATATGTACACTTTATATATAATTAAGTCACGCATGGCCATCATGGGATATATTCACTAGCCCCTCCAATCTAGCACGGCGTGGCCAACCCCTATTGACTTGGGCTTATCTGAGTATTTTTTAAATTTAATTTGCCTATGTTCCCATGAACAAATTTAAGTCTACTTAATCATAACAGTGGTAGTAATGATAATAAACAAAGTGTCACACCTCCTTTTTACATCCGAGAGGGATATAAGGAAGTTTTTCTAATTAAAGTAACATTATTCAATATGGGATTATTTTAATTATCAGAGTCGCCACTTGGAATAGTTTTTGGCGTCCCAAGACATCGGTTTATTTTAAAATCCCAAATCGAGGAAATTCGACTTTCCTTTTGAAGTCTGTGAACCAGAAATTCTGAATAAGGAATTCTGTTAACCCGGGAAAAGGTGTTAGGCATTCCCGGGTAACGTAGTTCTAGCACGGTCGCTTAAACTATTATATTGACCTAATATATTATTTACTACATGTTTTAAACCTATTGTGCATTTTTACATTATTAGCCGCTTTTAATAATTATTGTTACATATTGCAAATCATGTCACGGGAACCGTACCCACGATCTACAACATGTTTAATTTTTTAAAGATTAAATTGTGGTCGGGTCACATAAATGTACCCCGGATTTTAGTAATTAGGCGTCACAACTACGTCACGGGAACCGTACCCGTAGCTATGAAAATTATTTAATTAACGTGCCTAAAGCAAACTAGAAAAGTTCAAGGCATTTTCTATACTAATTATTATTTATGTGAGGGCCATAGGTTATGGATTTTGTTTGCGTATGGCGCACCTCGACTTATTTTCTAAAAGGATTAGCTCTTGATCTAATTTCGTGAAGGCCATGTATTATAAGTTTTAAGCATGACACACCTCAAATCATTTTAAGAAAAGGATTATATATTTTAAAGGCAAACTAAAGGTGCTCCTATTTTAATTTAATTTAAAACTAGTTATCACAACCACGTCATGGGAACCGTACCCGTAATTGTAATAATTTAATCGCGTGCCTAAAGCAAACTACGGTGTTTAAATTATTTCCTAAACTACTTTGAGATTATTGTGAAGGCCATAAATTACGAAAATTATTGTGGAAGAAATAAAGTAAATTAGTTATGGAAACATGGGCTAGTTTGTAGCCTTATTGACAATTGGGCCAAACCAATAAGGCGAACAAAACAGGGGCGATGTGCACAAATAGCCACTGACGGCTCATGTCTTTATTTTAAAGCCAGTGTTTTAAATGTCTTTAGTCTTTAGCCACTGATTTAATAAACTTTAACTGCCCAGACGAAAATACCCTTCTGCTCATGTCCTTAACTTCAGGACTTCAGGACTACATGTCCTTAACTTTTGAACTTGAAACTCTAAGTTTAGGACTTCAAGACTACATGTACTTAACTTTTTAACCTGTAACTCTAAGTTCAGGACTTCAGGACTACATGTTCTTAACTTTTGAACTTAGAACACTTTACATGAATTTACTTTTTAATATCAGTTTTATTGTAGATAATAAATATTAATACAAAATTACACTATATCAAAGACAAATTTAGATGCCTGACAAGATACATAAAAGCATATTAAACACACATAATAAAATTGTAGTATACTTCATAATGATCTTTAAAAACTTAAACGATTACACAAAAAAATGTAGATTCTTTAACTCACTAACAGTAACTACAAAATAACAATTCTAACTACATGATTTTTTTTTTGGGTGCATTCTTGCAAGATCTTTTGTTATGCCCTTCACTTCCACAGTTTCCACATGACACCTTGTACTTCTTTGACTTTAGTTCATCATATGTTTTGTATCTTTCCTTTTGTGGTCTTCCTGGCTGCTTTTTCTCTCCCGTAGGTGATTTTACTACTTCATCAGATATATGTTGTGGCACATTCCATTTGCTTTCATCAGGAAGGGGATTTACTGGTATTTCATATGTACGGAGTAGACTCTCCCTTGTGTAATACGGCGAGCAATAATTTTCATATCCTTTATTCCTGTCCCTTAAAGCTGACAAAGCATGCGCACATGGAAGTTCATCAAGTTGGAACTGGCCACAAGTACATTTCTTGTTTTCAAGACACACGATGTACCGCTTCACACCATCTATCACGGTATAGATAAGATCTGTTGAAGCCCTCACCTACAATTACATAACAAACAGAAATAAAAATATTTAAAATTCATAAAAATAGTTTATCTACAATTATCTTCAACTTATCAACAATTTATCTACAAATGATCTACCATCTACAAATTAACTACAATTTGTCTACAATTTAACTACATTCTGAAAACACTTTATATAAAAATATTATTATTCTCCACAAAATAAAGAGATCTTACCCTAAGTTTCTGAGATAATGTACTGTTTTTCTCCAATTCTTTGTTGAATCTGTACCCAAGGTATGTGAAAGTACCCTTTGCCTTCAACAACTTCTCTTTCGTCCAACGTTCAAGAAGTGTCCTCATATACTCTAATAGGTCAAATATAGGCAGCTCTCTTGCATATTTTGTTACAACATTCAACGACTCTGCGATGTTTGATGTCATAGTCCAAGTTCTATTTACCGTTGCATGTACTCTTGACCATCTATGATAGCCAATATCATAGAGGTATGATTTAACACGAGGGTCTATCTCTTTAATCTTCGACATCCTTTCATTAAATTCATCCATAGTGTATGATCCTGCTGTAGCAAAGTACAATTCATTTAATTGTAGATGACCCTTCTTGAACTTTGCCCTTATATTTGTCCAAATATGCCACACGCAAGAGTAGTGTGGCACGCCCGGATAGACAATTGATGTTGCCTTCAGGATCTCTCGTTCCTATCTGAAACAACACATATTGAAGTTCTTTCACCATATGCTAGCTTGAATTGCTCAAAAAACCACTTCCACGATGCATCGTTTTCCGAATCAACCACTGCATATGCCCAAGGCAATATTGTTCCTACATTATTAATAAAAAATTAATTAACTTGCGGCATTGAAATTGCATATAAAGACACAAATACATATAAACTACAAGATATCTACAAAGATATCTACAATGTTTCTACAATTTACATACTGCCTACAAAATAACAACAAAATAACTACATTTATACCTGTTGCATCCATTGTGCTTGCTGTCAGCATAATTCCCCTATAGGCTGTCTTTAAGAATGTCCCATCAACCACGACTACTGGTCTACAATATTCCCAACCACTTATTGATGTACAAAGAGCAACAAATGCATATAAGAAGCATTCATCGATTGTCTTCTTCAATTTAACAATTGAACCAGGATACGTTTTCTCAAGAATATAAAAATATTTTGGTAATTTGTTGTAGGAGTCAGCCGGATGACCTCTCAATAACTGTAAAGCCTTTTCCTTTGCCCTTCATGCTTGCATGTAGCTTAGGTTCACTCCATGTTGGGATAACATGTCAGTTTGTATGTCCTTTGGTGTGTAAACTGTCTTAAGATCACAATACTTTGGCATGACCATGCTACCAACTACAACTGCAGTACGTTTGCGCTGTATGAATGTATCGTCCATTAAGGAGCATGTGTGTTGTCGGTTGAAACTCCTTATCTTGAACATTGTGGAATCATTAATTGATGTTGCCTTGAAGTGCCATTTACAGTTTTCACCAACGCATACAAGCCAGTAGCTTCCAAAAAAATACAATATTTAATACAGATTATAAATGTAGGTGCAACAAAAGGACTGTTTTACCATAAAGTAACATAAACTACAATTTAACTACAATGTAACTACAATTTTACTACAATTTTTAAAATATTTTTTTACTTGACTAAAACACTGCTTTTATTGATATTTTCTCCATACCTTCTATGACTAGATCTTTTAACTCAGAACTGGAACTTGTGCATCACAGAAAAGTGCTTCATTGCAGCAACTACAGTTTGCTTGTCCTGATACACTTGTCCTTCTTCAATATCAGTTTGCGCAGATTCTTTTATTATTTCACTTTGATATTCCTCTATAGTTGGGGAGGATGGCATATCAAGTAACTTTAGGGATCCAGACGAACCTGCATCAATATAAAGATAAACAGTGTTATTTTAATTTGTACAAAATTTGTAGATTTTTTGTAGATATAGTTAAAATTTTGTAGACATCCATATTAGGATGTCAGACATCGTATTTAAATTGTATAAATGTAGTTTTAATTGTAGTTAATTGTAGATATATTGTAGATAATATCGTAAAACCATAATTCTATGCAATTTCTAACTATACAAACCTGCACTTATGTTATCGTTCGTGATTGCCAATTCCATATTGAAATCTCGTACACTTATACATAACGGATGTGAACCTAAGTTTTTATTCTCCTTTTTGGTCTCCATATATACACTAACCCCCATATCATTCCTAATCTCCATTGGGGGACAATTGTCATTCACGATGTATTTGATTTCTACGATTTTTTCTGTAGTATCAATCGATAGTTGTTCTGCAATTGTAGAAACCAGAATATTGTAGCTTGCATTCACATTTACCACAATGGCATCAACTTCAAAATCCCTAAATCTCCCATAGTTGTCCCAAATCCCATTGAATTGTAGCATTATTGCGATTTTCGACATGATTGCTTGTTGTTGTTGGTATTTTTTTGGATTTCTAGATTGAGACAAGAAAAGATGAAGAACAGATATATGATCGACAATTTGATTTCTGAAAACGACGAAGAACAGAATATAGCAATTCGTTGAAGCTGTTCGTAGTTGGATCTCGAAGATTTGAATTCTACAATTTGAATTCAGTTCGTTGAAGCTCTTCGTAGTTGAAGCTGTGCTTACTTTTTTTTCTTAATTTTTGAATTGTAGTTTAAGAGAAAAATACGCTGATGAGAATATTCCTTTTCGTTTCAAAAATTGAATTTAATGTAGAATCAATCAATCAGGATTCTTTCCTGATTTTTAGCGCGTTTTTAGGGAATATTCTACCCTTTTAATACCTAATAAACGAATGGTACATAAATTGTAGGAAAAATGTGGACTAGGCGGGTAATTTAGATAATATAAACATTTTTGGTAATAAAGTTTCATATATGGTATAGATAGGAAAAAATCTCGAAAATCAACTTAATGGAACTTGATGAATTTTTCAGGCTTAATTTGAACAGCCATACCTTACAGTACAAATGCCTCTGTTAGTGGCAAAAATCACAATCGGAGACAATGAGTGCACGATTCAAGTATGAAAAGCATTCCATATCAAGCATATGAACCTGCCAAAGACATTTTCTCCAATTAATTAACCGGAGGTGGGGGTTAGTATTAAATGCATTATCAAGCACGTTGTTGTATGAATGAGAAACGAACCTCGTCAATAAATAAGACACCAGGAACAAGCTCTGCAACACCTTCGTCAACATAACGATTGACAACCTGCAGTGAAATAAGCACATAATAGCCCATTATGCTAAATTACTAAATTCACAGTCTCATAGACACTTCATGAAAATATCCAATTGGACTGTAATCAACATGCATGAAACAGCATAATTATTCGTCCAGAGTACTAGTAGCACTAATAATCACAAGTACCTTGTTTATCTCTTGCCGCAATTTGTCAGTAATCTCGGTTTTCCTAGGTTTCATCATTTGACCCATAAGGGACGATATATCTTGTCCTCCTTGTGGCCGTGCATTTGCAGCATCAAGATCATGTAATGTAACATCCTGGCGAAATATAATATTAGATCTTTGGTTTCCTGTTCCTTTCAATCGAGTTCCCTCATAAAAAACCATTATATTAGTGATATCATTTGACCCCCAAAAAAATTGCACATACTTGGAATTGCATTTTAGTTTGATCAAAACCACACAAGCAAGCAATCATGCCATGTAGGTATCCACAGAAGATCTGATGTACAAAATCTAACTAACTAAATATTTCAATTACAAAGACAACTCATTTCCTCCTAAAAGAATCTTGTGCCAAAAGCAGAGACTTGGTTGCTTGCTAACTTTACCACTATATTAATGTGGACTTTAAGCCATTGGGTTTTAAAGTAGAAGAAGTGTGAATTGGAAATGGAGGGAAATTGAAAATTTGAAGAAGTGAACTTTTGTCTTGCACTTTGTCCCTCATTGGTGAGGGACAACCACATTTGTGTGCTTATATATAGAATCACTTCTTAAAGCTCATAAAAGGAGTTGAAGAGAATGAACCCTCGCGCCGTCGTCGTCGCTCGCTCGGCTTCGGCTTCGGCTTCGGCTTCGGCTTCGTCAAATGATCGATCGATGTTCAGAAAGCCCCTCTTACCGCGGTTCTGCCGCGACCGCAGTAGAACCGCGGCAGGCAGCGTATTCTTCTGAAAAGGCACCTTTTCCAGACACCTCTTCTGATAATTGCCTATAAATTCTGAGGCAAGGGTCCATTTTCTATATACGAAAAACACTCCAGAACTTCTTTCTTTCTGAATATACTGCATTCTAATTCGCAGTCTCACTCTCTCAAATTCGTAAGTGTGATTTTGCTCCGTTCTTTAAGTTCGTTGGTATCCTGCAGTTTGTATTGCCACTGTTGCAGGAAGGTTTATTCCGTTTTATCCTGGGAGGATTTAATCCATAACCTTGGCAACTTGTGAGGGGGTTAAAATTCCTTAAGGACACACAAGCAAATTGTGGACTCGGAATATTTCTTAAACTCTACTATTTTTCCAGATTTCTTTAATTCTTCTAACAGTTTTGTTTTTCTGATTTTGTATTTTAACACAGTAACGCTGTAAAGCTTAAGGAATTTTAATTTACTAACGTTTCTGTGTTGAAACATTTATTAAACTGTTATTCATATTTTGTATATTGTTTTGGAGATTAAAGCCTTGTTGCTTTCTACTCCAATAATTCTTTCTGTCCGGTTTAAAGTACATAAAAACTTTGTCGGAATAATAAACGTACGGGTTTGAAGTATATAAAAACTTCACCATTGTTACGTGTTGTATGTTTGGTTTGATATTCAGTTTGAAGATATCAAAACTTCACTGATTTAACAAAGTTCTGTATTGTTTTCAACTTTACAGAAATATTACGAATGAAAACCAAACTAATGGAAGTGTTGCGGGAACGGGTGCTACTGTTACGAGTGTTGCTGCCTCGTCAAGCCGTTCTACTCCTGCTCATGCTATGGCACCGGCAGAAAAACTCGGAAAGTTTTCCGGTATTGACTTCAAACGCTGG